AATAAACAAAACATGTACTATCTTTGAACAAAAATCCTAGCACAAAAGAAGGACCATGTATTACTGAGGGTAGAACATTCTGCAAAAAGGAATTCAAAAATTTGCTTTATGAATTCAAATACAGTTGTTCAGTCATGAAACAAAATATTTTCCAAGAAAACTGAATAGAATGTAGTATGATTGCTTTTATACTTTGATTTTTTTTTAATTACTGCAGAAGAAAAAGTGTGGTACTGTGTATTAAGATATGATATGGCATTTAAATTTGTGAGGAACAATTTTCATGGTCTTTAGAGCAGTCTTCCAGAAGGGAATTAGTTGCTACAGAAATGTAGCCCTTTTTTAGATGAAGGATGATGTTTAGGCTAACCTCTCTACGCATGTCTAAGACATACAATTTTTTGTGCGCCCAGTAACAGCATTTTATGGTTAGTATGGCATCTAAAGGATCCAAAATGGCCAGCTATTATTATTATTATTATTATTATTTGGTGCTTTATGGAGAGCAGGTGGAGGCATTTAAACTTTGCAGAGAAAAGAGTCCAATTCAGGAGATAAGTTTATTTTAAAAGAAGGAAATAGGAGTGTTAAACCACCTTAAGTCTTAAATCTCACCTCCCCTCAATAAAAGCCATGTAATGCTATTCAGGATACAAAATAAGTGCAGACGAACCACATTAAGGGTATCTAATCACTAAGCCACAAACAAGCTATGTTTTTTCTACTTGGCGTATTTTGAACTCCAGCCACTATTTAGTAAGCAAAGCACAGACTTTTTGACAAATATGCCTCATTTGATTTTGCAATGGACATATACTGCTTTGTGTTTTTCTAACCAAATGTTGCTACATAATTATTTTATTATTGTACATAAATTGTATTGCATATACAACACAAGCAGCTTAATCCATTTTATACCAAAATGGTATTAGTTTTATTCTCCCATTTATTCTCCCACTGTTCATATGACTGCAGCTATTAATATGATGCAGTAAGGTATTAATTCAATAGAAGACCTGGGACTAGATCTTTGCAGCCATTCATGTGAGCAAAATCTCAAAATATGATTCTCAAAGCCTAGATGGGCAGCATTTCCCCTAAACTAGCAAGCTGGCTAAAACAAATCTTTCCTTATAAGCTCTTAATATGTTGACAGTTACGGACACGGAATTCAAATAAAACATCTCATTTTACAAATTAACTAAGCACAAAACCACTGAAATCCATTTTATTTTATGGATCAAATTAACGATGGGACTTCCATAAAACTTCCAAGAAATGCTTAAATTGGACATATTTTGCAATTAGTGAGAAGCACGGAACACTCCCTCCTCAGTACATTTCCCAAATTTTTAGCTTCTGCTTTTAAGTCATTAAATTGTATTAAACCTGCTCTCTCAACCCTTCCAGGCTTGATAAAAAAATTTCCGGATGCTATTTGTGAAACTACATATTAAAACAACCAGTAAAAGTAATTGCACTGGCGTTACAGTAGAACAGCTTAAACATCTCTTTGATGTTTCCAGCATGACACCTGCAGAGAGCAAAAACTTTTTAAAAGCTTCTTTAACGCAATAAGGAAGTAACTTTAAAACCAGGGTCAGCTGTTTTATCTTCACTTTCTACCCTGACTGCGCAAAAAGACAGCCACCCACTTATGAGTTACAGAAACACTGGAAGATATTTCAAAACACCACCAACAGTCCTCGCTCTGCTGTTTTGAAGCCCATCCAGCAGACAAAACTATTCACATGTATGAGTCCCTTCGCTGAGAAGGAAAACAAAAACAACTTACATTTTTCAAATAAAACGCATTTTAAGTGGCAATGGTTCATAATACTTCATTACCAAACTTCCCTAGTAAAAACAGTTGTCATAAAAAAAAAAAAAGATTTTATTGAATAGAAAGAAAAACCAAAACCAAAAGGTTTCCTACGAAAAGACTATATCCATCCATTTTGGAATGTAAACTCTTTGAGCAGAAATGACAAGCTCAGTTCACATTGTCACGAGTCCCTATTGGGTGCGATCAGAATGGCCTAAAGGGCGAAGAATAGCGCGGTGATCCCCTGCTTTGGTATGGAGGAGAATCGCGACTCCTTGAACCAGAACGGGAGCGCGAGTAGCCGTAGCTGATGCTTCTTTCGGGACAAACTCTGATATAGGCTGTTTCACCCTGGAATTCAGAACAGAGAAAACCCAAACGTTGGCACAACATCCTGTGGTCAGTGTTATGAATAAATGAATGCCAAAAATGAAGACGAGAACAGGCAGGTTAAATCCTATTGCTGCCGTAGGCCAATTCAGATGTGGCCCATCAAGTCTGCCGAGAAAGAGCTTGTTACAGAACAGCTGCTAGGCTGTGGAGGCCATCCCAGACATGTTTTGTCCCCCTGTGACTAAGAAGGGTGATGATGTCGGGTTCCAAAGTTAAGCTATCAGAAGGAGAGGATGTAGGCTAGTGAGAAGTCCTTCAGCACAATTAGGAGAGGTCTTGGTGAACTCTCACCAGTCCATCTTAACTTAATTCTGTTTCTGCCGTTCAGATGCTTGAAGAAAATTCCATAACAAGCAGCCTCCATCTGTGATTGACTGGGTGGTTGAAGATCAAGCCAGCCATTAGAAGAAGGTGGTTGCAAATGTAGTGGCAATGCCCCAAGAATAATAACCTGGTTTATAGTAGAGATCAAACCACCTTAAGTAGGAAGATCCAAGCACGGGTGGGGAAGATTACTATTAAGTTAGCCACAGAGCTACACAGCTGCTCCTCTGGGAAATATCATTTCAGCTTGCCAATAGAAGGCAAGCTTATTGAAACAATCAGCTGATAGCCATCTTTGTTCACCCACTGGCTGTCCATGGGAGAATGACAAATGAAATCAACTTGCTCAGAGGTTAAAAGCAAGTAATCCAAATGCTCATTTTCCAGGAATAAAGCACAAACCCTAATTTTTCTGCCTCAGTGTTTTTAACCATACCATCGTGGGGTAGGTTTCAGACAGCCTTGGCAACCCTTAAATCCTACAAAGTTTAAGCCACCATTTCCAAAACTACCGCTAGACTGTGCTCAGAAGCCTCTTGAGAGAGCATCACAAAAGGACAGGTTAACGTTATGTTCCTCCATGACTGGCACACGCACATTCTCTTCACCCAGGCAGGAACCCACCTCATGAGATCGGAATTTGGTGTCATCCAGTTTACGCAGTGCGTATTCCATATCTTCTTTGCGAAGAAACTCAACCACCCCCATTCCATCTTTCTGAACATCTGCATAACATACATCACCAGCTTCACGCATATGATCCTTCAGGTCCTGCCAGCTGCCTGATGGAGGAAGCCCTGAGCAGTGAGAACACAAAACACAAGAGACTGTGTAAAGAGATGTCACTAGTTGCTGAGGCTACGCCAGGCATGGCGGTGCTCCACCATTTCCACAGAGTTTCTGTTCATTCCAGGGAGTCAGTGCTACAATTAGGGTCCACAGAACAGCCATAAGTTCCACTCCAAAGGGTGAGCCCTCCGTGTCAGCCAGGCAGTCTCCTAGGTAGGTCTAGGATTCAAAGTACTGGTTAGTCCGAGGAATCCTCCTATTTTGTCCAGTGTAAACTTAATGTCACCCCTAACTCTGACTGGATAGATTGTACTCCATGTACTCAAAATTAGATTCCCATCCAAGAATTAGGGTCCCACTCTAAGAGTGTTTGGGTCCTTAGGTTCCAATAGCTTATCCTTGGGCAGCGAAGCAAGGATACCTGTGTTAACTATCCACAAGTTTGCTATAAAGAAAGATAAAGGGAAGTGGGTTCCCTGTTCCACAGCATATTCGGAAGAAACTAGCATGCTGCTGCTTCCTGGCAGTTTTCAAGAATGCGTCACAACACTCTCTAGTAAGGAAAGTTCTCCCCTTCAAGCAAACAGCCAGTCCAGATATCCTCCCTGCCCTCCCAGGTGGGAGATGCACACCTGGGCTTGAGCCTTTTCGTCTCCAGGTCCTGCCGCAAAATTGAAGAGATTGCCATTCAGCGATTTCCTCACCGAGAATACTCCTATTTCTAGCCACGATGCCACAGTAACATGCAGACGTCTTGGCATTTTATTTTAGTTTTTAGGAATATTTTGTATGGGTTAAGTGGGCCATTCCATACGTTTGGCCACAGCGGGCTGAATTTTCTTCAGAGATTTGATCACCATGGCAAAACCTCCAAAACACTTCCATTCCTTTCCAGTGAGATTAGGACTTTTCCATCTGTCTCCCAACTCACTAGACACAGACACCTATTCCAGGGATATATCAAGGTTGTTTGGAGGAATCCATAAGGCTCTGAATAGAGGGGATCTAATTTCGGGTCAATTGTCTGTCATAAAGGACACAAATATTGTGCAGCTGTATTCACAGGTTTTAATAAGGCATATTTTTGATTGCACAGAGCCATCTACGGCCTGTTCCTTCTGGCATGAACACTATAAAACTGATCTCTAGTTTTTCTTCCTTCCCTTTCCCCGCCCATATAGTGACCCCTTTTTGCATCCGAGAGGTCACTCCTGCCTCCATCTGGAGACGGTTTTGCTCACCATTCACCATGACGACTCCATAAGCAAGACTTCCTCCATGGATAGAATCAGAGAAGTATAGTGTCCTTTTGCAGTTCTAAAAAGCTCCTCCATAGGGACAGGTTCCGTATTAAGAAAGAAACCATGTAATATGGTAACAGTAAGATAATCCTCTCTCCAATACAACTGGAGATTGCATCGGAGGGATTCCAGTCAATATGAAGTTTAGAAGGGAACATACCTGAAACAAGGACTCGGAATTCAGATCGTCGTGAGGGAGGGCCATTCCTCCCACGAGGCCCCCCACCAAAGCCTCCACCCCGACCTCTGGAAGGTTTGGGAAACTCAACACGCAGACGACACTCGCCGTAATCATAACCATTCCTTCCATAAATGGCATCTTCTGCATCTCTGTGAACAAACAATATGTAGCCATGTTTACCACTATCCAAACATTCTGAGGAAAACGTGAAGGGTTTTGAAAATGTTGAAGCTTAAGATTTAAAAGTGCAAAATACTGAAATACAAGCTTAAAAGAGCTAGAAGCTGGTAATTTTTAAGCTGGTAGGCATCAGCAAATGCTCCAATTCATCTGATTAAATCTAAAATGGTTTTAATATTAAAGTTTGCAGTTTTAGAAATATCACAAAAATATGAACCTCAAGAGTTATCAAGATTTTAGAAATAACCCAAACGTGAAGTTGATAAATGACAGAACTGCTTCTCTTTTTCAACAAAAATCATAGCATAAAAGAGGGATTGTAAATATTATTCAACCTCAATGCAGATTATTTTTCAAAAAAGAATTGAGAAATTTGGGGCTTTTGAAGAAGCACCAGTACATAATCACAGAAGCTACTATTAGTTTTATGAATATCAGCAGTTGCTATGCTATTGTCTCTTGTGTAATTCAAGAAGGTAATACTTTAGCAAAATGTAATATTTAAAGTATAACTGCTTCAGGAATTACAATAGCTTCTCTATAAATCTACTTTAATGTGCTGTGTGTGAGTGGGTGGCTACATAAATATGTTTAAGAAATAAAATGACATTTTCAAAAGAAGTGCATGGAAACAATCATCATCAAATTTATGAAGAAGACAATCAGCTTAATTAATAGTACCTCCACAGAGAAAAACATTCAAATTTACCTCTGGATGGGGTAGAAAAGAAAATGACATTCACTAGAGATAACCACAGAACTCATCATTTAAGTTAAAAATGGGAGACAATGATTATATATTCCATAAACTGGAATGAATTAGTTATAAATAAAAAAGAATCAAATACTTATAATTAAATGTAAGCTAAACAAAGTTCAAAATTACAACGGAGATGGAAAAAAAGAGCCAGTGCAAATTTCAATTTGCCTTAATAGATCCCAATACTCAAGGCCCAAATTTAATAATTCTGCTTTATTTTATGAGATCTATCTGGAATGGAAGTCTCTCCTTTTCATAGGATCAGGTTGGTCAGCAGCACAATTAATAATTTCACTATCTCTAAATCCTAAACTTTCCTGAAGAATTAGAAGAGACTTCTTGATACTAAGAAGAGACCTCTGAGCCCAAGGTGGATGGCCATCTATTTAGGTTTGTTCTGGGTGCCCAGTCAAGGAGGCAGCTGGAGTAAAAGGACCGCTAGGCCCCTTGAATTCTCGTTCTATAAATCATTCTAATTTTTTTTTTATTGAGAGGCCAATACTACAAATTTTTCAAGGCTACTTTTATCAAACGTATGATCTTTATTCCAATTTCAGGGTTACGGTGGTGTTTGGTCATCCTTTGTTCTTAGTTTTGCCATGTTATAGATAGAGTGGCTTTTTTATCTGGCTCCTTCTACTTCTTCACTCAGAGAATCCAAGATCTTCATCTGCAGAGAAACTTTGTTTTTTTGCAGTTCTGAACTGCCCATCTCCCTCAGGAAGAGTGGTGTATAACAAAATGTTAAAACATAAAAACAGCCTATAAAACTTAAAAATTTAGAAAATTTAGAATTTAAAAAGTGGCAAGGATGATTAAAATGTTAGAAATTAGTTAAAAAGTCAAGGGGGGAGGGACACTAACCAGCCCCTCAGTTGTGTGCTTCTCTGCACTCCCCACTTAAGGCTGTAAAGCCCCATTTCAATGCCTTTTTAGAAGACCATAATAGGGGCCAATCTCCCTCTGGGGGGGTTTGCTGTGGTGTTGAGTAACAAATGATATTTAAACTATTCAAACACAGAATTCGATTCTAATATGGAATTGAATAAACTTCTACATTTGAAGTATAATGACATTAGCTACTAAAAAAATATTCACATAATTAGCTTCAGTCAGAAAGGTGCATCCTTCAAAGCAAATTTAATATGTACTGGTCATGTTTCTGCTACACCTACATAGCAAAACTTGTCAGTACAGGCAATCCTCAACTTACAACCATTCAGTGACCGTTCAAAGTTACAATGGCAGTGAAAAAAGGTGACTTACGAACGTCCTCACACTTACGACCATTACAGCATCCCTTCGGTCACATGATCAAAATTTGGATACTTGGCAATTGTTATGTATCTGGGGCCACGTGATCACTTTTTGCGATCCTCTGACAAGCAAAGTCAACAGGGAAGCCAAATTTGCTTAACAATCGTGTTACTAACTTAACAAGCACGACGATTCACTTTGCAATTATGCCAAGAAAGGTCATCAAATGGGACAAAATTTACTTAACTGTCTTGCTTAGCAACAGAAATTTTGGGCTCAACTGTGGTTGTAAGTTGAGGACTACCTACAACTCAGTTAAACTGAATCCCTATCCACTCTAACCACTGTTATCACAGATTTAAAAGGAAACAGTTTTTAAATTAAAAATTGGCCATAGTTAAGTATTTCCATTACTTTTTCATTGGGTGGAATCCAAATCATATTATCCTATTTTGCTATCAAGTACTCTGTGATTAGAATGTACTAGATCTACAGACACTCCAAATAATAATAAAAACTAAATCCAGACCTCTATCTGTACAGCAATAGCAACAAATGGGCCATAACAGATTTATTTTTCTCTGACTGACCATGACCAAGGTAGAAAATGACATATTTACTCTGTATTTTCTTTAACTTGTAGCCTAAAAAGGAAACACCATTTTAACACTCCTATCATTGTAAGTTAAAAGCTATGGAATGTATTTCAGAATATGAGGAATAGAAAGAAGCAACTTCCGTAAGGTAACTGTTATAAGTTCTTTTATCCCACCTGTTTATATATAAGTAAAGGCAGCAAACATACCTAACACTCCTGCTTCCCATTTTTATGTTTCTTGAGTGGAAAATCATAGTGGTGAAAGAGTGGCAGCTCTTTCATTTCAAAACTACAGGATGCCAAGAGATAATGCTGCAGTATACAAATTATACTGCTAGGTACTTTTTTCTGTACAGCTAGTTTCTAAGTAGAATATAGCTTTTAACAACAAGATGAGGCATGCTGTACGAAGAAAATTATCTTTTTCAGAGAAGTAAAAGACAGGCACATAGGAAATGCAACATACAATTCCCATTTTGAGTGAGTTGTTTAAGCAATCTCACAAGGAAAAAAAGTGAGGGGGCATTTAAAGTTTGGGGAAAGCAAACAGGATGGAGGTTTAAGACGTTCAAGAATGGAAACTTCAGTGTCTCTGAGGAGGGCATGTCGAGGCAAGATGGATGTGGGAAAAAACATCTGCTCTTATAATGAATAGACTGTAGGGACCGAATGCTTTCCTTGCCTGGGTCAAACTATGAAGATAGTGGGAAAAGAACAGCACAGCAATTATAAATGTACACAAGACTGTGTTAAAATTTCCAAGGTTATTATTTCAGATGAGCAGTACATTTCAACAGAATTAACTTTTTTTTTTTAAAAAAAAAAATCACTGTGCTTGTATTATACACATGGGCCAAAGAAGTCCCTTTCTTAAAGGGCCCAGAAGACTTCATGCTTCTGGCACAAGACTTACTAGACTGAACCCATGAGCTGCTTACTTGTGCAAGATGCTCCTGTAAAACAAAGAAACACCACTACATCACCATTATCAGCATTATTATCGTTATTACTGTAGAAGAGTCAAAGCACCTAGCTGGTCCAGAGAAAGGTAAGCAGAATCAATGGAGGCAAATCTGTTCAGTACTTGGAAGACAGACCATCCCAAAACTCCCCCAAAAGATTAGTGGCAAATCAAGCTTAGCCTGGAAGATTGTCTACTACCACTACTTTTCAAGATTGTTCCAAGAACTGCAAAATAATCTGGGGTTAAATACATTGTATATTCCGCTGCATCACACAGTACAAATGCCCACTAGCATCTTATTCTATCTCTATTGATTGTTGAAGGTTGATTGAATGTACAGTTTTATTTTTTTTCATAACCACCCTGCCAAACTGATATTGAATGATAGGTAACATATTTACTGTAGGTAAAAACCACCCTACCCAATTAAAAACAGAGATACTGAGAGAATACATCAAAAAGGGAATGCCTGCCGTAATAGCCTTTTGCAGCATTGCAATACAGACCAAACAAGTTGCAAAGATCCCAAAACTATTTTGGGAGCCAGGCCGTATTTCCTCGCAAGGAATTGGGGCTTCCCTACTTGTAGAATTCCTGTCAATCACCTGAAGGGTCCTGGGATGGGAAAAGTGATATACATGTGTGTGTATGTGTGTGTTTATGGAACCGGCTCTGAAAAATGCAGTAAAGCTGGCATTTAAGCTCTGTCCCTAAAGGCAGGGAGGCCATTGATCCTTTTCCAAATACAGACCGACAGTGTGTGTGTGTATGCATATGTGTGTGTGTACATATGTATATACACCCACCCACACACATCTTATCTGTTGGGTGAGGCACCCGGTCTACCAAATATAAATCAGTCTGTTCTGTTCTGCGTTTGGCTCCAATCTAGGCGCATGTTTTGCAGGCAGACCTCACATACTGTGAACACTATACATTCAAAATTTTGTGGCTGGCAAAGAGTAAGTGGGAGACTAGTATAGCTATCTCAGGCTCATTTGCCCTCATCTGTGACTAGCTGATGAGGGCAAATGAGCCTGAAATAGCTATCCTAGTCTCCCACTAACTCTTTGTCAGCCACAAAATTTTGAATATACATACATACATATACACACATATACACACACACATGCTCTCACACTCTCTCTCTGTCGGCCTGTATTTGGAAAAGGATCGATGGCCTCGCTGCCTTTGGGGACAGAGCTGAAACGCCGGCTTTACTGCCTTTTTCAGAGCCGCTTCCATGCACGCTGCCCGCCCGAGAGCAGCCGTAGACGCGGGGCAGATTGAAAGCGCGCCTCTCCTCCGCTGAGCCTTCTCGGCGGCTCCTTTGTACGTGATCCCGGCGGATTCCCGCCCTCAGTTGCAGGGCTGGCGGCCGACTCTCGTGCGAGGCTCCACCCGGGGCCCAGAGGAGCCGGCTGCAGCCCCCTCGGCCTCCCCCCCACCCCATTCGCCCGGCCGGCTGAGGAGGATGGGCCCAACGCCGCCCCCCCACACCCTCCCTCAGCCCTGCGGCGGGCAGCTCGGCCAGGCAGGCGGGCGAGGTCGGGGCCGGCCGCGCCAGGCGGGAAAGGCCGCCCCCCCTCACGCACCGCGGGTCCTCGAAGCGCACGAAGGCGAAGGGCACCAGGCCGCGCTTGCTCTTCAGCTCGATGTCGCGGATGCGGCCGTACTTGTAGAAGAGCTCCTCCAGGTCCTTCTCGCGCACGTCGGGGGGCAGGTTGCCCACGTAGATGCGCCCGTCGGCCCCGGCGCTGCCTCCCCCGCGCCCGCCGCCGCCGCCGCCGGACACCCCGGGCCCGCCCCCGTAATCGATCACGTCCCGGCCCCAGCCCCCGGACATCTCGCTCGCCCGCTCGCCCGCTCGCTCGCTGGCTTCCCGCGCCCGGCGCCCTCAGCGGCCTTCCCTCGCAGCCGCCTGACGGAGGGCAGAAAAGAAGAACGCGGCGCCCGCCTTAAAGGGGAGGAGGGAGCGGCCGCGCGGCGGAAGCAGGCCCGGCCTGGCAGGCGGGGGTCGGAGGGCGCATGCTCGGAGGAGCGCGCGCCCATCTCGCCCGAAAACGCTGGGGGGGAATGGGCGCCGCGGGGCGGGACTTCCGGGCCGGCTGCTCTGTTGCCGGGGCTGCGCGATGGGCCCGGCCGGGCCGTCCAGCCAAGCCACGGCCTGGAATTGCAGCCCCTCCCCGCCCCAGGGTGGTGGGAGACCGAGGCTCGGGCGTCGACTTAGGGCAGGAGTCCTCAATCGTGGCCACTTGTGGACTTCAATTCTCAGAATTCCTCAGCCAGCTTTGCTGGCTGAGGAATTCTGGGAGTTGAAGTCCACAAGTCTTAAAAGTTGCCAAGGTTGGAGACCCCTGATCTAGGGCAGGGCTTTTCAACCTTTTCACCCATTGTACCGCTTTTAGGATATGGCAATATTCGAGTACCACCTAGCAAGGTGTCAAAAACTTGATGACCCCCCCAAAAAATAAAAGGAAAAAAAGTGATAAAGTACAGGTAGTCCTCGACTTACAACAGTTCGCTTAGTGACTGTTCGAAGTTACAATGGCACCGAAAAAAGTGCACCCCAAGCCACAGCCGAGCAAGACACCTGCCTGCCCGCCTGGCAGCGCTCTCATTCCCCTCCCCCACTACTTTTCTAGGATGCTCACGTACCACCTGCCAGGTGCCAATGTACCACAGGTGGTACCCGTACCACTGGTTGAAAAGCCCTGATCTAGGGCGCTCCGGTGATGCCCTTGGACCCGCTCCAGCAGCCCTGCGTTTGGCTCTGCCTCTTCCCGGCTCTGCTTCTCTTGGGGACACAGCCTGGGATCCCTGGGAAGGCAGCTCCCTTGTTCGTGGGCTTTGTCCTCTCTGCATTTTATCCATTAACAGAATGAGTATTAACAGTCTTGTCAGTTTAATGGCAATAATTGCAGCACAAAGGTAACCACTAACTTGCTATGGCCAAATGTGTGGTTTAAGGGGGTTGGTTGGTTCGCGCAACACACCAAACTAAAGTGTACTTCACACAATGCAGAGTCGCAAAAGTAGCCTATTTGGCCGTTCTTGAATCACGTATTGGCTGTACGGATTTCATCCTATGCAGTCTGTAAATGAAGTGTAGGTGATTAATGTTTAACAACCAGAGGTGTGCTAATTAGTGGTTGTGTTTGTATGGCTGTAAATTAAGGACACACAGCTTTCATTAGCAGCTTGATGGCTTGACTGTATAACGTTCTGACAGCTGAAGAGATGTGTGGATGGGTAAAGCACATCTTGGACCTTTTAAAATTAAACCATTCTGATTCATAATCACATACACACACAGCCAAGAAAAAGGTTTTTGGCCTGGAGCTATATATTCTATACCATTTGTTAGCTACAAATTATAGCTAACCAATCAGAACTGTGATTTTCATACTGCATTCTAAATCAAAATCTAGAAACCACATTATGACTGATGGGATCACACAACTCATTATGTAGTTTGTTTGGATTTGGTATAGCCAGAAAGATAGTTAACCACAGTTAATTGTTCATAGCTTTGTAAATAAAATATCAATTTGGAAACATCTGCTTTATTTAATCAATTTATATACTGGTAGCTGCCCATCTCAGTGAGTAACTCTGGTTGGCAAACATATTAAATAAACTCTAGACCTAGATTTAGATAAACCTAAATTTAGACATCTAGGAGTCCTAATGGACAATCACTTAAGTATGAGCCAGAAGTGTGCTGCAACTGCCAAAAAAGCCAATGCAGTCTTAGGTTACATCAAGAGAGGGATGGTATCAAGATCATATGGACCGCTTTATACTGCACTGGTAATACCATGCTTGAAATACTGCATCCAGTTTTGGTCATCACAATACAAAAAAAGATGCTGAGACTCTAGAAAAAAAAAGTGCAGAGAAGAGCAGCAAAGATCATTAGGGGACTGAAGACTAAACTGTACGATGAATGACTGAGGAAATTAGGTATGTATACAGTATAGTTTAAGAGGGGCTGTCAGAGAGGGTTAACCTCTTCTCCAAAGCACTTGAGGGCAAGACAAGAAGTAACAGATGCTGAGAGATCCAACCTAGAATTAAGGAGAAATTTCCTGTCAGTGAGAACAATTAAACAGTGGAAGGACTTGCTTCCAGAAATTGTGGGTGCTCCATCACTGGACTTTCTTGTGTTTCTTTGAAGAAGCTTCTCATCCAAGAAGCTTCTTCAGCTCTAACTGGATGGTAGGGAATGGCAGGATTTATACTCCTTGCAGATAGCTGATCATTTGCATCCTTTTAGAGCAGGGGTCCTCAACCTTGGCAACTTTAAGACTTGTGGCTGAGGAATTCTGGGAATTGAAGTCCACAAGTCTTAAAGTTGCCAAGGTTGAGGACCCCTGTTTTAGAGAGTCGTTGAAGCCCCTGGAGGCTTATTTGTGTTATCAAAGAGGCCATCTATGTCAAAATTGAACAGCCCTCTCTCGAATAGAAGAGAATAATAATAGAATAGAATAGAATAGAATAGAATAGAATAGAATAGAATAGAATAGAATAGAATAGAATAGGACAGGGATACGCCTTGTGAAAAAAGCACCTTTGGAACAACCATGACCTGGATGACTGAGAATCTCCATAGACATCCATCACTGGAGGTTTTTAAGAAGAGATTAGACAGCCATTTGTTTGAAATGGTATAGGGCAGGGGTAGGCAACCTTGGCTCTTTTATGACTGGTGGACTTCAACTCCCAGAATTCCTGAGCCAGCCACGCTGAGGGGAAAGGGAGAGGTTTCCAAGCTGAGCCATGCTGGCTCAGGAATTCTGGGAGATGAAGTCCACCAGTCATAAAAGAGCCAAAGTTGCCTACCCCTGGTATAGGGTTACCTGCTTGAGCAGGGATTTGGACTAGAAAACCTCCAAGGTCCCTTCCAACTCTGTTATTCTGTAATTGATCAATAATAAAAACAATTGCAGTCATAAATACAAAAACGCATAGCAGCTGAGGAAAATATCACAGTCAGCAGCATTAATGAAGCCAAGAGACAGGTCCCTTCACACAGTCAGGAGCCCAGACTTGGGCCCAGAACCAGGTCTTTTGGCCTTGTGAAAGGCCAAAAAAGATCACTCTAATCTCTGGAGTGAAAATGTTCCATAGGGCAGGTTCTATGATAGAAAAGGCATGAAATGTCCTTCCCAATCAGCATTCTTAGACCAATGGGGCCTGAAGCATGCCCACCTGCTGGATTGGATAGAATGAGCAGGAAAAAAACATGGAGAAACAGTCACTGAAGGAACCCAAGTTCCAATTTATTGTGTAAAACAGGGAGCAAACGCACACACACGTAGACTGATGATGACACCTAATTGGGTAATCAAACATCTGCAACCAAATCAAGCTCAGAGAGCACCAAGGTTTCCACAACTAGCACTCTGAACCACATCTGGAAGCAAACCAGAAACCAGTACAGCTTGGAAAGCACAGGACACGGACATACTGAGGCATGCCCATTACTGTTTGCACCACAGCATTCTGGAATTCAAGCTAAGGCGTTTGTAAATAGGCCATGTAGAATGTGTTGCAGTAGTTCAGTGACTAGGGCATGAGTGACATTCTGAAGGGCCTCCGATCTAGGAAAGGGCACAACTTGCAACCAGATGGGGTTGTGCAAAAGGCCTTCCAGACGACAACTGACATTTGCTGTTGAAGCCACAGCTGTGACTATAGGAAGACTCCCAGCTTGCGTGCCAAATGTTGAAGGGGAACCGTGCTATCATCCAAGTTCAGAGAGAGAATTCTTAGTTTCTTTGCATTGCTAGTTTCTTGGCTCAAAAACTGCCACTGTTAGTCCTCAACTTACAACCATAAATGAGTCTGGGATTTTGGTCATAGGTTATTGCAGTCATTAAATGAGATGCCCCTGTGACTACTCAGCGACTGCAGTCCCAGCTCTCCCAGTTGTGGTTGTTAAGCAGTTGTGTGGGTTGTTAAGCATATGACGCTAAAGAGCTGCCTGCCAAAGGAGGGCAGGCAGGCCTGGAAGGGAACTCCCGCACTGGCCTGGAGAAAAAAGCTTAGATCTTTAAGATGTGAGCTTCCTTTCGCCAACCTGTTGCAAAAATCCCCTTTCCCTCCACATGCAGAAGAGAACGGCTACGCTGGGCTGGAGAAAGGAAGCTTGGATCTTTGGAATCCGAGCTTCCTTTCTGCAGCGCACCTCAGGAGTTTCCCTCCCCTTTTGGGGTCACCTTTCTACTCTTCAGAAACATCACATTCATTTGCTTTCTGGCTACAGAGCCAGAGAACGAACGCAAAGTTTTGGAAGGGTAGAGTTGCTAGCACCTGGAGAGGAGGGAAACTGGCACTCTTGCAATATTTCTGAAGCCTAAGAAGGGCCTCTTCAGAAACATCATGCTTGCTGTCAGGCTGCACCTTGGATTGGTTGCACACACCTGTCAGCAACTACACAAAAAGGCAAGTGGACCTGGGCAAGGTGAGGTATGGCGAAGGCTTGGATGTGCTGGGGTGAGGAGGGAGCCCTGGTCTTCCCGGTGTGGTAGGGCAAGGAACATGCCAGGGACTCCACAGCTGCAGATGCTCTGCATATCCTGGTGGACCGAGTGGATGATAGAGACGGGGAGGGGAAAGTGCCAGAATGTTGATCATGTGATCACAGGAGTTCTGCAACCACGATAGCTTCAGGCAGGAGTCATAATTCTCTTTGTTCAGCGCCTGCCAGGCCCAGCCCAGGAACAACATGGTGCAATTCACCCAAACTTCAGTTCTTTTATTTGCTTACACCTAGTAAACAGAACCCTACCAGACTATAAAACTTTTATTATTCTCACTCAAATGGATGTACCCTGGGAGATTCCTAGGAGGGGCTATCCTGACTCTCTTCCTCCAACTCTTATCCATCTCTGAGCTGTTACCTCTTTTCTAATCTCTCTCCTGGGAAACTACCACTTCGCTGTACAAGTAGTCCTCGACTTACAATCACACAATTCACACACAATTCCAGCACTGGAAAAATAACTGATGACCATTTTTCACACTTACCACCCTCGTAGCATCCCCATGGTCACAGGATCAAAATTCAGACGCTTGGCCACTGGTTCATATTTATGATGGTCGCAGTGTCCCGGGGTCATGCGATCCCCTTTTGCGAACTTCTGACAAGCAAAGTCCATGGGGAACCATGTTACTAATTTATCCACTGCAGGGATTCCCTTAACAAGTCTGGCAAGAAAGGTCATAAAATGGAGCAAAACTCTCTTAACGACGGAAATTTTGGGCTCAAAATTGGGCTCATAAGTCGACCACCTGTATTTCATCACACACATCTTCACAGATACGGCGCCATCATAATTGTGAACAGTCACTGAACATACAATCGTAAGTTGAGGACTACCCATACTGCAGATACTGTATAGATAAACTATTAAAATACAGAGACATCACTCTGAGAACAAAGGCCCATGTTGTCATGTTGCCTTTAAAACTCAAGTTTCGCATCAAATTGATAAAGACTTAATTCCTGAATTTGGGAAAGAGACTAACTTTGCAAATAGGCTTTTTCACCCCTCCTGCCAGCACGAATCTGTTTCAGGCAAAGAAAAGCATTTATTAAGGGAGGTTAAGTCTCTAAATAAAGTAGAAAAACATATGCTCCTTACATTCGCTTTATGTGAGGCATCAGAAAGCAACAAGTCAAACAAGATTAATTGGATATGATAATTAGACAATAGAAAATATTAATCTCAGATTACATTTCTCAAAGGGCAAATTCATGAATTACATCACCCTCTTTCCTAATCAGGTTTCTATCTTTGTTAGTGCTTGCAGGTATACTCAAAAGACATCCAGAATAGTTCCCTGTTGTTTCAGAATACAGAAGAAGAGTGTTAGAAGGGACCTTGGAGGTCTTCTAGTCCAACCTCATGCTCAGGGCAGGAGACCCTATATCATTCCAGAAAATGGCTGTCCGATCTCTCCTTAAAAATCTCTAGAGATGGACACAGCCACAACTTCTGGGGGCAAGCCCTTCCGTTCGTTAATTGTTCTCACTGTCAGGAAAATTCTCCTTAGTTCTAGGTTGCTTGTCTCCTTGATTAGCTTCCCTCCGTTACTTCTTATCCTGCCCTCAGGTATTTTGGATAATAGATTGACCTCCTTTTTGTGGGTACCCCTCAAATATTGGAAGACCAATGTCACCCCCTAGTCCTTCTCCTTGTTAGACTATACACCGTATACCTAGTTCCTGCAACTGTTTGTGTGTTTTAGCCTCTCAATCTAAATTTAAATCTAAATTAGACCCCTAATCATCTTTTTCCCAGTTGCAATGTATGGCTGTGAAAATTGGACCATAAGAAAGGCCAAGCGCCAAAGAATGGAGGACTTTGAACTCTGGTGCTGGAGAAGACTCCTGCGAGTCCCCTGGACTGCAAGGGCTGGCTGAGGAATTCTGGGAGTTGAAGTCCACAAGTGTTAAAGTTGCCAAGTTTGAAGACCCCTGCTTTATGTGGTCCTGATACTCTCCCTCTGTTATTGCAGTCTAGGACTGCATTGGCTTTTTTGGCAGCTGCATCACTTGGCTGGCTGGTTTAGTTTATGAATGGATAGTTTTGCATTTAAAGAAAAACGGATCTGGCTAGTTTCCTGAAGTTCAAAAGAAAGCATGAATGCCATGCTAAAATGCCAATATCACTTTAATTTTAAATAGGACAAAGCCTAACATTCCACTGAAACCCACAGATCTCTAACTGGCTGAGCTTGAGAAGCACTGACCTAATAATAATAATAATAATAATAATAATAATAATAATAATAATAATAATAATAATAATAAAGTTGGAAGGGACCTTGGAGGTCATCTAGTCCAACCCCCTGCTCAGGCAGGAAACCCTATACCAGGGATCCTCAACCTTGGCAACTTTAAGACTTGTGGACTTCAACTCCCAGAATTCCTCACCTAATAATAATAATAATAATAATAATAATAATAATAATAATAATAATAATAATAATAATAAAGTTGGAAGGGATCTTAGAGGTCATTTAGTCCAACCCCCTGCTCAGGCAGGAAACCCTATACCAGGGGTCCTCAACCTTGGCAACTTTAAGACTTGTGGACTTCAACTCCCAGAATTCCTCACCTAATAATAATAATAATAATAATAATAATAATAATAATAATAATAATAATAATAATAGTAATAATAAAGTTGGAAGGGACCTTAGAGGTCATTTAGTCCAACCCCCTGCTCAGGCAGGAAACCCTATACCAGGGGTCCTCAACCTTGGCAACTTTAAGACTTGTGGACTTCAACTCCCAGAATTCCTCACATAATAATAATAATAATAATAATAATAATAATAATAATAATAATAATAAAGTTGGAAGGGGCCTTGGAGGTCATCTAGCCCAACCCCCTGCTCAGGCAGGAAACCCTATACCAGGGGTCCTCAACCGTGGCAACTTTAAGACTTGTGGACTTCAACTCCCAGAATTCCTCAGCCAGCAAAGCTATACTTTCGGACAAATGGCTGTCCAGGCTCTTCTTAAAAACTTCCCTAGAGAAGGACGGGGCGAAATTCATTGCAAGACCTTTTTTCTGAGGAGGAGAATCTCTGCCCATGCTCTGAGAAACTCTTATCTCTGCTACTGAATTTCTTTTTTAAGGATTGGTTTCGTTAGGATTCCGTTCCGTTTCGTCCAACGCGTGCCCGGACAGGCTCTAGAAACCGCCCGGCCCGTCGCCACGGCAACGGACGCCGGCGCGGTGCATGCCGGCTCGCAATAAAATGCCACCATAAAACCCGGAGGGAGGCGGGGGCGCTCCAGCCAATGGGCCGCCAGGTGTATTGTTGCCGCCAATGACCGTTGCCTGCGGGACGGAGCGCGGCGCGTCGGGCGTGGTCGTGGGCCGGAGGGAGGGAGGGGCGAGGCCGGCGGCCGGGCGAGCGAGCGAGCGGGCGGGCGGCATTCGAGGCGGGCAGGGCTGCTGAGCGCGCGCGCGGGCTTTTCCTCAGGGCGTCACGCGACGGGGGACCCGGAGGAGCGCCCAGGTGCCAACTTGCTCACCGGCTCCACCAACGTCCCTTCCCGCTCTCCTCAGAAGCAGCCCGGCAGCAGCGGCCGCACCACCGCACGGTGAGGGGACCAGGGCGCGCCTCGGACGACCGGGCCACGATCGGGAAGGTCCCCGGGCGCCGTGGCCTCACATCGCTCCTCACGCTCCCAGCCGCGGGGCCGCCGGCGGACTCTGGCGACGGTGGTCGCTCGGCTCAGGCCCGGGGTCCGCCTTGACCCGCGTGGGACGTGTTCGCCGGATGAGGCCGGCCGATGCCCGCTGCGAGGAGTTTGAGGGGGGGAGCCTCCTGCCCGGCTGCCGAGCCTGGCCGCCGCCGAAATCCAGCAGAATTGGGCAGAAGCGCCTCCAACTCGGCCTCCCTGGCGGTTTGGGGCTCCCCCCCCCCAAAAAAAATCTGGAGTGCCGCGTTATTTTGCCTGGCATCCCCTCCTGCAGCTTCCCCAGAGAAGCGTATTGGGTTGCCAGCCATCTGCGGCTCTCCTGCGTGTTGGCATCGTGGAGGAAGCGCGAGGGTTGTTTTTTTTTTGAGGGGGGGGTGTATGGGGGGGCGATGGTTTAATTGGGAGGCCAAGAAGGGTCGTGCCTGCGCTACAAGATCCTTGCAGGGGAACGGGAGGGGGAAGGAGGAGAAGTGGTGCAGAGGGGGGAACAAATCTGAAGGGATTTTGGAAAGGTGATGGCGTGATAGCTTATCAGCTGTTCTGCCTAATGCAGGGGTAGGCAACCTTGGCTTGACTCGTGGACTTCAACTCCCAGAATTCCTGAGCCAGCCATGCTGAGGGGAAAGGGAGAGGTTTCCATGCTGAGCCATGCTGGCTCAGGAATTCTGGGAGTTGAAGTCCACAAGTCATAAAGCGACCTAGGCCAGAGGTGGGCCACCTTGGCCCTTTTATGACTCCTGGACTTCAACTCCCAGAATTCCTGAGCCGGCATGGCTCAGCCTGGAAACCTCTCCCTTTCCCCTCAGCATGGCTGGCTCAGGAATTCTGGGAGTTGAAGTCCAGGAGTCATAAAAGAGCCAAGGCGGCCTACCCCTATCCTAGGAGGAAGATTAAGAGCAGGGGTCTTCAAACTTGGCCCTTTTATGACTTGTGGACTTCAACTCCCAGAATCCCTGAGCCAGCATGGGGGAACTATGCCCCCCCTCATGACTCGTGGACTTCAACTCCCAGAATTCCTGAGCCAGCATGGGGGAAACTTTGGCTCCCTCATGATTTGTGGACTTCAACTCCCAGTATTCCTGAGCTAGCATGGCTCAGCTTGGAAACCTCTCCTTTTCCCCTCAGCATGGCTGGCTCAGGAATTCTGGGAGTTGAAGTCCACCAGTCATCAAAGAGCCAAGGTTGCCTACCCCTGGCCTAATGGCCTAGCTTTTGATGGGCAACTTTGAAGCATTCCTTTGTGTCTAATCTGAGGCTTTGTCGTTTTCCTTAATATAGCTTAATTAGTTTTATATAAACTGGGTCCATAGTGTCAAGATAGAAATATTTATATAGTGCTTAAACGATTCTAGAGCTTTTCAATAATAACATTCTGGTTTACAGTTTAATAACTGGTATAAGCAGTGGACAAATCATGGATCAAATCAACATGGGGTTGAGAGCCAGTTAGGTGGCTGAGGAGGGAATCCTATTGAGGAAATCCTACTGCTAGTACTAAAATCACAAGGTTTCTCCCCACTTCCTTCTTTCAAAGAATATGGAAATGGTGGATGCTGATTATCTACAGAAGGAAAGAATATTTGGGTTTGAGGGGACTTGCTCAAGGAGTATTGGGCGGGTGGTGGTCTGTGGCATCGAAAATTAAGATACTTTTTGTGGGGGGCGGGTAATAGTGGTTGAACAGTGAGGCCCATTGGGTTAGGAGACAGACATTGCTAGATGGATTTGGTATGAAAGAGTTAACATTTGGGATATAGCACTTCAGGGGCTATTGAAATAATGGAGAATTTGGCAACATTGGTATCTCTGGTGAGCCTGACCAACCAGCCTTTTTGTGCAAAAGGTAACTGCACACCTGCAAGTGGGTGGAGTAAAAAGAGACGCCAAGGAGAAATCAGATTCTGCTTATTACAAGGCAATACATGAAACATAAAGATACCTGTGCTTCTTATTTTAGTAGTGAATAGGTTGTAGCTATGGGTGCAAGGAGAGGTAAAGTCTCAACATCTCTGACTTCATGAGCAGATACACCAGAGGTGTCAAACTGCCGGCCTGCGGGCCAGTTTCATCATACTGAAGCTGCGCCCACCCCATTGCCGGCAATGCATGTTTAGCTTTTGAAATGAATGTTTTGCATATTGATCCTTTCCAGGAGAAGGATTCTGAGTACTTGTCAGGTTATTGCATTTTTTAAGCTTGCCAAAAATAATTACAGATAGTCCTTGTTGAACAACCACTCTTACGGCAACTGGTCAAAGTTTTGACAGAACTGAACAAGGGAGTTTTATGACTGTTCCTAGTAATTGTGGCCATTGCAGTGCCCTCGTGGTCACATAATCGCTATTTGGGTGCTTGGCAATAAGCTAGCAATTATTGTTGCAGTGTTCTGTACTCACATAATCGCCATTTGCAACCTTCACTGCTGGCTTCTGGCAAGCAAATAGAATGGGAAGTCAGCAAGAGATCACAAGTGATAATCATGACCATGGGACACTGCAACTATGCTGGATTCCCCTAATGACAACAACTGGGAACTGCCGTAACTGTTGTCATAAATTGACAGTCATGTGATGTCATATTTTATGACCACATCACTTAGTGCAGGGGTGTCAAACTGCCAGCCTACGGGCTTGTTGCATCATGCAGAGGCTGTGCCCAGCTCAACAATGCAAAAAAAGTTGCGATACATGTCACATGGCACGGCGAGTTTGACACCTTTGACTTCATGTATCATTAAACAATGACTGCTTGTATAGCTAAATATGAGTAGGTTTGTTTTTATCTTTGAGCTAAACCTTTGTTTGTATTTTAAAAAGACCCTATCAGTGCTTCTAAAAATTAAGCTTTTGAACCTCTTGTTTGCAGAACAGATGAAGTAAATAATCATTTCTCATTCTTTGTAGGTAATCATGAGTGATCGAAAGGCTGTGATCAAAAATGCAGATATGTCTGAGGAGATGCAGCAGGACTCTGTGGAGTGTGCTACACAGGCCTTGGAAAAATATAACATTGAGAAAGATATTGCTGCTCACATAAAGAAGGTAGTGCTCAACCATCATCTAATACTACTAGCTATCAAGAATATAATCTAAACTGAGATTATAAATATTGAAGTAATACCAAGTCCTTACTGGCAAAAAAGATATCACTTGTGCGAATAGAATTTTTTTTCACCCATGGGACCATGCCAGATGTGTAACAAAATTTGCAGGGTGGGTTTGGTGATTTCAGGAAATAAAATTCCTGCACCAGAAATTATTTGTTGCATTCTTATCCTGGACCATACAAGCCTGTTTCAAGGTCAGACTGCTCCCAGTATATTTCAAGTTTGGGGTATTTACTTCCAGAAACTTGGAAATTGTCTGTTGAATGACAAGGTCCTGAGGATGTTTGGCATAAACCCAGAGGGAGGATGGAAGTTTCTGGAGTTCTTCAGAAAATTCGGTTCCCAAATTGCTGGGTTTTGTATAACTTTAATTTGACCCACAGCTACTATCTTCTGCATTTGGCTGACTAATAAGAGTCAACATTAAGCATAGAAAAATACTAAGTGATAAAATCTTTACACTTAATGCCTTAACAACTAGCAATGTAAATATTTTTTTATTATCCAGTGTGATATCCCAAGATGCATAGGTTAATATGAGATAGTAGGTTTTTGTAAAAGATCAACTGAGTGAAAAGGTATGCGAGTACTCATAAAAACCAATTTAATGATGCTAGTCCTTTGTAAGCAAGATTCTCTGCATCATGGCTTTCAGTGATAAATGTTGAGCCCTACTCCTACTGTTATTCCTCTTATGTACTATGCTTTTTTGGTATATACAAATCCTGCCATTGTGGGACTACAACCTTTTCAACTCAACTATATTCAGTTGCTCTTCTGAACTATGCTGTTCCAGAACTGATCCCTGGTTTTCCAGACACATATCCTCAGAACCAAATGAGCCACTTCCAATCCAGGGTGGACCAGGGGCATGGAAGATACCAGGATGTCCCAGAACCATAAGAGTTTGCATCTCTAATATTTTACATATAGCTGAAAGTGTTATCAGTAGACATACTAATTTAATTAACTGGAAAAAATAATGCATAGATGCCTTTATAAAGTTTCCCTAGAAACTGCAGAATTGGCTAACATGGCCATATGAGTTCTTGCATTTTATTTTCACTTCAAATATTTAAGGGCTTGGGGTTGTCACCTTTTGTCTACACACCAAAAAAAGAATTGGTGAAGACCTTAGGATATGCTGGAACTAAAACTAGCTCAAGAGTTAGGTCAGTAACTTTGAATAAGTCATGCTTTCCAGTATAATAGAGTGAATGAAAATATTAACATCTATGATGCTAAGATTTTAAGGGATTCTCTTCCAGGAGTTTGACAAGAAATACAACCCTACTTGGCACTGCATTGTGGGAAGAAATTTTGGCAGCTATGTGACTCACGAGACCAAACACTTCATCTACTTTTACCTGGGTCAAGTTGCTATTCTCCTTTTCAAATCTGGTTAGAATTATGGGACTTTTCCACCCAAATATGCATTCGGTTACAGGACTGCACGCTAATTCCAAATAGACTGAAGTCTTCAGCCTTCCCCAGGGAACATACTTTGATCTTCAAGCCTTTTGTTTTAATGACAGGTACTCCTATGTACCAATTTGTGTTTTTGTTGTGGCCATAAAAAATAGCAAAAAAGTAAGCTTGTATGTATTTTCTTTCCAAAACAATCCATCCAAGTTTTCTAATAAAACTGTTGGGTATTTATCCTTTAACTTACTCTAATATTTCTATATTTGGGGTAGCTCTTCCATAGAACCAGTGGAGTTCTATATTACACTGAAGCTGAAAATTGTTTAGCTAATCCACTAGTGTTTTCCAAGCTCAACTCCAAAGTTTGGTAGGCTCAGTCTAGGTTATTATATTTGAGTTAAAATTTGAAAATGCTTTCTTGTATCAGCTAACATACCCAAGTTTCTTACATTTAATTTTATTGGCTTCAAATGCTTTTTAAACAAAGCTGTTAAGAGAGCACAAAATAGAATTCTTCTAACTCAAGACTTCTTTAGACGCACATCTGTGCAAGAGAATGTCCTGTAATGGAATGATTTAAAAAAATATTTGAAATCCTCCATATGCAATTTATGAATGCTTAATTAGAGCATTTTTGGTTAAATATCTCTGTATATGTCAGATAAACAAAACTGTACAGAGCTTGTCTGTTATACAGCTTCAGCTTTAAGGATTATTAACCTTACGTGCTAGATGGCTCAGTACAATAATGGTGTATATTAACACAGTACTTAATAAAGACCTGAGGTTGAAAGTCTAGCAGATTATCTCATAGGAAATGAGTGCTGAATGTTTCAGTACATTTTAAGGACTAGAGCATCCCACATTTGGAAAAACGTGTAACTACACTTCTCCCTTGATAGAGAGGGATCTGATTGTGCTGCTTATACAGTACATGTATGTAATGGATTGGTTGACATGTTGCAGCATCAGCTCTGCTTTATAAAGTTGGGATAGACAAATAGCACGTTTCATTGAGTACCAAGTTTTTTCTTCATCGTTGAAAGTTTATGGTCCAAAAGCAATTTGTATGAAGGACACACCAATGGAAATAATAATGTGCATTTGTTAGATAAAGTTCAAATAGTACATGGGACATCCTTAAGTATGAAAGAGGGGATAACACTTAGTGAATTAAGCATGGGAATGTTTTATGCCTTTTAAATGTAAAAATATTTGTTACCAATGGCAGCTTCTAGATTATCTAGACATTTATTACCCAATAGTTTTTTTTATCCTAAAGATTTGCTGGTTTATTCCTTCCTCCATAGGTATATTGTGCTTGGAAGCAAGTTACCCTTCCTATAAACTGTTTTAACACTCTTAAACCAATGTAACAGTTTATAGTACAGGAACCTGGTGCATGATAGTACCCAACACAATAGAACAAGCTTTAAATGTTGGCCAGTTATTTCCAATGTGGTACAGCAAGGGGCTCAATCTCCATAGAGGACAGGCAGAGAATCTGAGTTAATTTTCTCCAGGGCTGACTTCTATTCATGGCTATCAATAAAAATAGCTGGAGTTAAGGAATGCATAGTCTTTGGGCATTTTGACTATCAAGCATAGTATTCTATCTGAGCAGGCTTGTGTTGCATTTATGTATAGTGTGATATATTTATGACACTGTCATATTATTAAACTGTATGTTCTAGGCTTCATACAAACCTTGTTAATTAGCTTTTGTAAACCATGATTTATAACCAAATGTATATGCTTGACCTCAGCAAGCGACAGCTCTCAGCTTGCTACCCAGAAGCTAAGTAAGATCACACTTGGTCTGTGCCTGGATGATAGAATTCCAGGGTTGTAGACTAGAGAATTGCGAAAAATACCCCAGAAAGCAGCAATGGTAAATCTGCATTGTTGCAAGAAAGCTGCGTGGATGTACTCATGGAATTTATTACCTCAACTTGAAGGAGACTCTGCGTGTTAAAGTTAATCTTGGTTTGGTACCATGCAGTTGGGTCGTAAACCTCTAGAGTTTTAACAATGCATATCCCACTGAGCTAAGGTAGTTTTTCAGCTTGGGTGAAAGCTGAACAGCATTACACCTGGATAAATCACTAGCTAGAACATGCTATAAATTGCGTAGATGATGAGATACTATTTAGGGGTTTGCAATCCCAGAAATTGGCTGACAACTGCTACCACCAGAATGTGAATTAAATTTCATTTTTTTCTTGAAGACGCCTCATAATATAAAACATCCTGCACTTCAGGAAAACAAAGATAAACAATGGAAAATTTAAATACTAATTTTAATACATCAAGTAATCCTACATCTCCTGGTAAAAGGACCGGACCTTTAAAACAGCAAACGTGGCTTCCATTCACTTCTTCCATCTCTTCGGCCACACCATACTTGGGTGACATGATCGAAACATTTCTGAAGGCTGTACAGTGCTTCAATGGCCAGGTTTCAAATGAACTATATAGTATCCAGTAAAACTATTTTAAAAAAGTTTTAAATAAGCACAGCTGAAAATAGTTGCTTTCTTTTGTCCTGACTTGAAACTTAATGTTGAATGTTTTTCCCTCAGTACAAAAAAAAAGGTAATCACAGCTTGAAGCCAGAATGAATGGCCACCATGCCAGATATCAGGTTTTGATAGTCCACCTTCAGAAAGCCTGCTTCCTCAATAATTTCCTTGAATTCCTCCTAAAACAAAGAAAGGGTAAATGTAGCCTTTAATGCTGAAACCTGGGTTACTGGTGTTCTTAACCCATTTTAGGAGCAAGTGCAACTGAGCTTACTCTCCAGTGTATAAGACTGAAATTTTATTGTTTAGATTAATCTGGAGGACTTGTTTTACCTGAGCTGGAAAGCGCCTTATGCTTTCTACAAGATACTGGTAGGATTTCCAATCACCAGCAATAATTTCTCCCAGCACAGGGATGACTTGGAAACTATAGAGATCATACAAACTGTGAAAACAAAAATTTTAAAAAGTTAACAGAGGTACTGGATGCAACCTATCTAGACTAAACTTTCCACAAGTTTTTTCATGTGTTGAAAGTAAACTGAATAGGGGCCAATAGGCTTTTGTTTTGCCTTTGAATTTTCTTGGGGAGAGGGATCTAATCTGTTCTACCAACTTTATAAAGTTTTTCACAGGCAGTACAGGTAGCCCTCGACTCATCACTGTTCACTTAACAATTGTTTGAAGTTACGATGGGCCCCCAAAAGCTACTTACAAACCATCCCGCATTTACAGCCATTTGCAACATCCTGGTCATGTCACCCTGATTTAGGACCATTTTGCTGGAAACTACCATTTCTGGTATTCAGCAGAAATGCCACATTGGTTTGCTTAATGAGTGCAGCGTTTGCTGAAGAACTGTGGATTCATTTTTAACAATCATGGTGATTCACTTAACAGCCACTGTAAAAACGGTCATAAAATTGGTCATGTGATGGCCTGCTTTACAACTATCGCAACTTACAAACATAATGGCAGGCTCTATTATGGTCATAAATTGAGGACTACCTGTGCATGCCACGGAGGTGTTGCCGCAGCCATAACATTAGGGACTAGGCATAAATAGCATTCATTTGGTGCCACTGTAACTTCAAACAGGACTGCCTGTATATCTTCTGCAAAGGTGATAACCAGTCATTCTGTCCATCTCTTTCTCCTAGTCCAGGGGTAGGCAACCTTGGCTCTTTTATGACTGGTGGACTTCAACTCCCAGAATTCCTGAGCCAGCCTGGCTCAGCTTGGAAACCTCTCCCTTTCCCCTCAGCGTGGCTGGCTCAGGAATTCTGGGAGCTGAAGTCCACGAGTCATAAAAGAGCCAAGGTTGTCCTAGTCATTAATGAATTTGCATCATCAAAAATAAAGTGTCAATATAAGGCGTCATTCTTCCCTACATAGAATACTACATCCACTTCTGGGGATTGCATTTTGATTAAAGATACTTCTAGTTTTTCAGATCAAACGGTTAAATTATTCAACCTTGGCTAAGAAAATACTGTTACTCTATTTCTGCTTTTTACTGTTTTCCTAAACCAAACCTGGGAGGAGGTAGGAAGGTGTGGTCATCAACTGAAAAGGACTATCTTTGAAATACGTACAGATAGTCTCACTTAATTGGGACAGGGATTTCCATCACTAAGGGACATTGTCCTAAGTATCACGTGACCACTCTGTTTAGCAACAGAAACTCCAGCACTTCCAGTTGCCATTAAGCAAGGATGTCCTGTGGTTGTCATTTGTGACCTGCCGGCTTCCCTACTGACTGCGTGTAAAGAAGTTGGCAAAAGGCAATCTCATGGCCACAGCATAGTGTGATGTCATAATTGTGAGCTGACCACCACTCGGCCATTGAATGAGTAGTTGTCCAATGACCCATGCTGTACTGAATTCAACAAACAGGAAATGTCTCACATTCTCACATTACTTATTTACTTAAGGGGGAATGAAAAAAAGAAGATGCTTTATGTCAACCTGGAAAGCAGGGCATTGTTGACGTGGCTGAATTCAAGGCAGAGAAAACGCCCTCCTGGTTTCAGGACTCGATAAGCCTCCTGAAGCGCCTGGAAGCACACGGGAAACAAACCCACAGTAAGAAGGGATATTCTGATTCTTCACACGGCTGTATTCTGAGCTCATTCGGTGGAGCTTTGGAGCAGAAGAGGTTACATCTAGATCAGGGGTAGGCAGCCTTGGCTCTTTTATGACTTGCGGACTTCATCTCCCAGAATTCTTCAGCCAGCATGGGGGAACTATGGCCCCTTCATGACTTGTGGACTTCAACTCCCAGGATTCCTGAGCCAGCCTGACTCAGCTTGGAAACCTCTGCCTTTCCCCTCAGCATGGCTGGCTCAGGAATTCTGGGAGTTGAAGTCCACGAGTCATGAAAGAGCCAAGGTTGCCTACCCCTGCCCAAATGCCTGAATTTTGATCATGTGGCCGTGAGGAAAAATATTTAAATATTTAAACCAGGGGTCTTCAAACTTAGCCCTTTTATGACTCTTGGACTTCAACTCCCAGAATTCCTGAGCCAGCATGGGGGAACTATGGCCCCCTCATGACTTGTGGACTTCAACTCCCAGGATTCCTGAGCCGGCATGGCTCAGCTTAGAAACCTCTCCCTTTCCCCTCAGCATGGCTGGCTCAGGAATTCTGGGAGTTGAAGTCCACGAGTCATAAAAGTGCCAAGGTTGCCTACCCCTGCCCAAATGCCTGAATTTTGATCATGTGGCCGTGAGGAAAAATATTTAAATATTTAAACCAGGGGTCTTCAAACTTAGCCCTTTTATGACTCGTGGACTTCAACTCCCAGAATTCCTGAGCCAGCCTGGCTTAGCTTGGAAACCTCTCCCTTTCCCCTCAGCATGGCTGGCTCAGGAATTCTGGGAGTTGAAGTCCATGAGTCATGAAAGAGCCAAGCTTGCCTACCCTTGATCTAGATTAAACAATAGCCTATTAATTCCTTGAAATTTTGGAAAACTTTTTTCCAAGATTCTCCACTGAAAGGCAGTATAAGAAAAACTGCCAGGTTTGAGCAATGAAGATGATACAAAATGCTGGAGTGGTGTAACTGTTAGAGAAGGAATAAGATGATGATGATGCAGGTGCAAATGGCCTCTTACTGGGTGACTTTGGACCAATCATTCTTTCTTTCCAACTACCTGACCAGGTTATTGTTACCCGAGGTGGGTGGGTGAGATGGGACTAGGACAGGGGTAGGCAACCTTGGCTCTTTTATGACTCGTGGACTTCAACTCCCAGAATTCCTGAGCCAGCAACCCCTGGACTAGGAGGTGAAAGACCACCACCTTGAGTGACTGGAGAAAAGGTAAATATAAATCTAGCAAACTCCCCCCCCCCCACCAATAGTCCCAAAAGGACCACTCACTCACCTGCTCCATATGAGTGACATTACGGATACCAAAAGCAATTGTATAAAAATCAAACTTGTCATCGTCGAAGGGCAGATCTTCAGCATTCCCCACCACCCAGGACAATCCTTCAAAGAAGGAGAAATGGAATTGGTCAGTGCCCATTCAAAGGACCTTCCAAAGAGATCTTTCATTAAAGATCAACAATATTTTATGAAAATGAGAAGTTGAAAGTAAAAATGGTAAAGTTAACAGTACAATATGAAAGTATTCAATTTTTGTTACTATAACAACAGTAATCCCTAATCAATGACATGATATATACATGCATTTTTTTTAGACTTCTAAGAACAAAACATGGCTTAGGTGGGGGGCTCCATTTTATCCCCCAATTTATGAGAGGTTAACTGAGTGTTATTTTCTCCACTTCTGTATCATGATTTACAGCTTTATTTCTCAATTAAGCTAGCTAAAGTTGGAGAAGGGGCACATTTCTCATTCTAATTACTGAAGAAATGGGCTGGACCCTACCTATGCTTGATTTACACTGTCCTATCACTATCGTACCCACGGCACACATTACATTCTGGCTGGGTTATACACAAGACCTGCTTGTCAATGATCATAATACAAAGATTTATTGTTAGCCATGCTATTTCTGCTCAAGCACAGTAACAGCATGTATTGAAAAATCTGCCTGCAAAATGTACAAACTATCTGCCAAATATGTGTACCGGGAGCCGATGGGGTCTGGCAGCAGCCGCAGCCCACCGGCGCAGGTAAGGCCGAGCACGGAGGTCGAGGCAGGCGATCT